GGTATGGTCAGCAAACATCCTTGTGAAACCCTCGCTGATTCAGCCAGTTTGGGAGATCATTGATATAGACCAAGAATAGCAGAGGCCCGATCATTGAATCCCGAGGAACTCCTCTGGATGTAGAAGAGATACCAGACTGGCTGACCGTTGACAAAACACTTTTGCCTACGATCAGTTAAATAGGATCTAAACCAAGATTGTGTCAAGTCATCCACACCATGCTTTCAACTAGTTTGAAAGTAAAATGTTATAGTCAATAGTGTCAAAGGCCTTCTTCAAGTCAATGACAACTACGCCGTTTAAAAGACCTCTATCGATATAGCCTGCGTAACGGCTCTCAGAGAAAGTAGAGCCTGCACGAAACCCCCTGCTTTGCCGTATTTACTCGTTCTCTCAAGGACGAGAAATCTGATTGGTTCAAAATGAAAAAAATATGCTAATTTATGCTAAAATTGATACAAACACGGCGGATGTATTATTTAGAGGCGTTTCTTTGAGTTTTGCATTCAAAAGAACTTAAAGGCCACGATTTACGGTTGAACATTAAAGTTATTTACGAACTTGGTTCACGAAGCTCTAGAGATATTGACTGTGGTGTCTTCGTTGGATTGCTGTCTGTTAGCAGCGCCTCTTTCACAACTCACGAGCGTGTTCGTTTTCATAAATTCATCGACGACAAATAGATTTTTTCTTCATGTTTTTGTAGCTAATAATTTTGTGCCAGGAGAGAATTGCTATAAATGCTTATGTCTTATGAACAGGACTTGCTCTCTGTGAAGTGATGGCTTTAAACACCTTTAATATTCTCTTATCAGCATCGCTCGAAATTTTAACATTTAATCACATCACGGTTGACCGCTGTCGAAACTATAAATTATATTTGTACGTGTGCGAGAAAGCTACGAAATATCGTAGATACGGACTGCAAACTACTTGTGACAACGATGGAGATTGCCCTATAGGCTTAGCGCTATTCCCACAGACTTCAATTTTCTTTAGCCGCCATCCGTATATTACAGTATTTCGTTTTGAAATTTGCGAACATACAGCAATCTATATTTATATTTCAATTTGATAAGTAAATTTGCAAACGTAAACAATCGCATCCGATCTGTATCTGATATACAAACTCTCGCCTTCGGCTCGAGTTTGTATATCAGATACAGATCGGCTGCTCATGTTTTATCTAGTACATAAAATTGGTCATAAACGAGCCTTCCAAAACTTTTAGCAATTGCAGAAATGATTGAAATAGGTCGATAGTTGCCGAGATCACTTTTATCCCCACTTTTAAAGATAGGTAAAGCTCTAGCTATCTTCCAATCATCCGGATACTGAAATTCCCATGGAAATTGAGCGATTAAAAATAGCTGTGAGTGATGGAGACAGAATCTTGGCAACTATTTTCAAGACCTTACAAGGAATATTATCAGGACCAGTTGCCTTATTAGGATTGATGGATTTGAGAGTGTTAATTACGGTCTCCGCAACATTTATTTCACTGCAAAAGAAAATGAGCTATTGACTGGGTTTATATAAGAAATAGGATTTACGTCTGAGTTAGGTATATTGTTGGCAAGGTTATCGCCTATCGTAGTAAAGTAGGTATTGAAAGCATTTGCTATATCAGCTGAATTCGTGATCTCAGCTTCGTCATGTTTTATAATTTTCACATTTGTGGTTGCATTGGCTTTGCGTGTAGCCTGTGTACAGCCGTTATTCTCGTCGAAACGCGCGAGAGAACGGTTGGATGTATAATCCTTGTTCAGGTCACGTGGATAGTTCCCAGATTTGGGGACCGGCCTCTGATTGGACAGTGCTTTATTTGAATAATTTATGACAAATGAAGCTATTTCATTTGTTAACTGATAATTAGCATGCATTTAAAATAACAACACAAAAATTTTAAAATTCCAGATCAAGAATCAAGATTTCCTTCGGGGCATACAAAGGTTTGAAAGACTTGAAAAATAATCTGTTGAGTTTAATTTTGTGCTGTATCGAAGTTTAAGAAAATCAAGATAAAATTCTAGTGTTTGGACACTCAGCGAACAATGCTGACAAATATATAAAATACAACAAACTATCGGACGGACAATAAATTGACAATCTGTTTATATGTTCCGACCCCTCGCGATAAAGCATTTTCTTTGCATGTAATGTGTTTAACTTCGTCTTACTTGGCCAGTTAACTTTTAATTACTTTAAAATGCACCTTTTGAATAACCAGTTACGCCATATATATGTACGCCAAGAACTGAGCTTGTACACGGACTTGCCGGCAATGATCATCGTTCAGCATTGTTCGCACTCAAAACAAATCTCTCCATCGAGAAATATATGCAATATATTTCTGGTGTATCGTTTTTCAGATTGTATTTCAAGTCTTTCAAACCTTTGTATGCCCCGAAGGAAATCTTGATTCTTGATCTGGAATTTTAAAATTTTTGTGTTGTTATTTTAAACGCATGCTAATTATCAATTAACCAATGAAATAGCTTCATTTGTCATAAATTATTCAAATAAAGCACTGTCCAATCAGAGGCCGGTCCCCAAATCTGGGAACTATCCACGTGACCTGAACAAGGAGTATGCATCAGAGCAGATCAGAGTAACGGCTGTACACAGGTTACTTTGCGTGAAGAAAGTTCATTATAGTAATAAGTCGCCACGTTTTCTTTGGATCATTTTTGGCTGTATTAATCCGCGTCATAAAGTAATCTCGCTTGGTCTTTTTAATAAGCTTATTAGCTTCATTGCGAGCTTTTTTATATCGGGACCAAATTTGATCGTTAGGGTTTTTATCAAAACGTTTTTTGAGAGAGTCTCTTTTGCGTAATTTATGAATTAGCAATGAGTTAATCCATGGAGATTTTTTACATCTAAGCCTTTTGGTTAAAACAGGAGCATGAATGTCCAAAATATCTGAAAATTTGGTGAGCCAGGCTGTCCACATATCATTAGGATTGTTTTGTGAGTTTATATCGGACCAATTTATTTGTCGGATATCATTTAAAAATTCCTCATCATTAAAACTTTTCATTTGTCTCCTAGTGACTGGATAATTTGTATCGATAACTTGATTAGATTTACGAATCAAAGAGATCAAGGAATGGTCACTAATACCCAATGAATGTGTTCCAGACACTGTTACTTTGTCAGGATAGTTTGGAAAACAGAGATCGATGAGTGATTTAGAAGTGTTAATGATTCTAGTAGGCTGTGATATAATCTGGGAAAGGTACGTTGTAGATATTAGAAATATCGTGTGAACCAAAACAGAACTCTTTTAGTTAGAGCATTCCCATGGACCTTTTCGTCCTATTGTTCATTCGCACAAGGCACAAGCGCCTGCTTTTTCGAAACAAATTTGAGGGACGATGGAAGAATCAGGGACAGAAACACTTCCCCTTACTTTTGCTGCATACCCCTAGATCTTACAGTAAGTTGCATGCAACATTAACATAGTGATGAGTTTATGCCATGCTTTACTGCATGTGTCAAGGCTGTTTGCAACATTGAACTAGGCGGGAAGGTTTCGACGTACATTAACTAATGAATATTTAACAATTATTGGATGAGGTTTTTGTGATATGCGGAATTGTCAAGAGGGTCCTGAAGGGGTACTGGGATTTGCTTATTTTTGGGTGGGAAAATGAGATTTCATGCACTGGGACTGGGATTCATCAGCAAAAAAAGACAATAGAAAATGGGAATGGGATTAAGATTTGAGCAGGACAGCCACTGAGATGATGGGATTTGTGCTGGGACAATGGGATTTAGTCAAAATTTGGGCTGGAAAATGGGAATACGACCCCCCCCCCCCGTCAGGACCCTCTGTCAAGGTCGAGGTTATAGCGTTATCAGCCGAGCCGAAGCTGATAACGCCTACCGAGACCTTGATAATTTTGCATATCGCAAAAACCGAATTCATGATTGTTTTATAATATTGATACATTTAAAGAATAATAAACATAGTACTATTAACGCATGAAAAACTTTATTTATGAAAACCTATCCATATTCACATTTTTTCTACGTTTGTTCAAAATTTTGCTTTGCTAGTTTTCCTTTGTCTGTGTTAAATAGATACCGCTTGCTAATCATTGCAGGCTCATTTGCAGATAACTCAGTTATCTGCTAGCAAATTTTGTGTAGGTTGCGTGACTGCGCGATTTAACTGTAAGCTCTTAGCCAATCAAATTGCTTTTACCAACTACAATGTATAATAATTCGTGTTATCGGGTCTCAACTCCTTTGTCCAAGATCGTAAAGGGAGGGGTTTATCGGAAACATATTAGCAATGGTATAGGTAAGTAGTATTCCATATATATAAGAAGTATTCGCAAGAAAATCAGCTCTTATAGCTAGCTAAGTATTTCACTTCGCCAGCGTTTGCACTTTACCACAAAATAGATACATGAATTAAGTGCCAGCAATCGGCGAAGAGAAACGATATCCGCTTAAGCTGACCATTTCTTTGAGTACCTCCCCGCGTAAAGCTACGTTTACACGCTGCGATTTATCGTGTACGATTGTTTTCTGGTGTATGTCATGGAGTAAACACACGTAAGCTGGCTACATTTGAAATTTATTTTTAACGAAACGGCAATGAATTATGGCTCCATCACTCATTGTAATATGCCAGAATATGAATCGTATGCGACAGATCGTAGCGTGTAAACGTATCTTAATCCGACTGTACGCAGTAACGCAACTCTTCTAAATAAGACAAACCACATCATCATCATTATCATATATTTAAATTAAATATATTATAACACTCAATTCTCAAACATAGCTACACCGCATATGAGTACAATATATTAATTTAACAAACAAATAATGAAATAAATATCATGTGCATCAATACATCATATTAAAACTTCAACATGGAATGAATGAATTTTGTCAAAAGCACAATTCATTTTATAACATATCTATATAACTACGTCCCAGAAACGTTATTAATAAGTCAAGTAATATTACTGATTTCACACTTACGTCTCGCCGAACATACGACACTCAGGACCAGCGTTACTTAGTGTTGTAACTGCATAGGTATCGAGCATGTCTTCTTCTGTCTTTGCTTTCTTACTCTGAAACCTGAAGTCTTTAATGACATTTTCACCGCTCTCAGAATCTTCCGCAATGTCAATGTCTTTCTTTATGCTATTTATGACGTTTATACTGCTGACGTGTGTTACCATGACAGGTGTTTCACCCGTGATTTCTGTTTCGCCGATAAGACTACGTTTTCTCGGCTTTTCATTAAGACAAGAAGTCTTCGTTTGTATTGGTGGTACGAAAGATGATGTGTTTTCGTTTTCACTACGGTAAAGTCCGCTTAAATCAACGGCTACCGTCCCTCCTGGACGTGGTACTTTGATCTCCGTGGGTGCATTTATGGAAATATTTGCGGAATGTGGTAGTTTTATATCTCGGGCTTTAGTGCTCTCACTATTTCCGGAATCTTCAACCTCGCCGCGGTAGAGTCCACTTACGTCTGCGGCTACCGTCCCTCCTGGATACGGTGCTTTGGTCTCAGTGGTATTTGTGAAGATACTCGTAGGATATAGCAGTTCAACATCACCATGCGGTGTGTTGTGGTCATTTCGTGTTTCTCGGTTCTCCTTATGGTATTGCTCAGCTGACTCTACGGCAATCGTCCCACCTGGAAGTGACAGTACAATGTAATTGGGTCTGTTGCTCTGGCCCTCTTGATGTAGCACTTTTACATCACTGGTTGTGTTTTGGTGGTTGCTTGCATCTTCAGTCTCGCTATGGCAAGACCCACGTGAATCTGTATCATTTGTCCCCTCTGGAAGTGGTCGTTTCATTATTTTGATATCGCTAAGTGTGTTCTGGTATTTTTGTGTCCCTCCAACTTCTTTATGGTATAGTTTACTCGACTCAGCCGTCCCCTCTGGACGTGATAGTCTTCTTATAGAAGTGGTAGTATGTGTGCAGGTATTTGTGGGATGTTCTACTTTGATATCACTGGGTGGATAGTTCTGGTCATTTCGTGCATCTTCAACCTCTCTATGGTACAGTTTACTTGACGCTATGCCAAACGTCACGTCAGTGAGGGTGTGTGTAGGGATATTTCTATGAGGTTGTATTTTAATATCATGGGGCGTATTGCCGTCGCCATCTTGATGTGGGATGTTTACATCACTGACACTTGGTGTGTTGTTCAGGTCATTTCGTGTGTCTTGAATCTCGCCATGGTAAAGCCCACTTGAACTAACGGCACTCTTCTCTTCTGTACGTGGTTGTTTGATATCACTTGGTGTATTGATCTTCCCTTCCGGATGTGGATATGATAGCATGATATTATTGGGCGTAATTGTGTGGATATTTGTGAGATGTGGTTGTCTTATATCACCTACTCTCTTCCTTTCTGGACATGGTAGTTTTATATTAGTTGGTTCATTTGTGCGAATATTTATAGGGTGTGATAATATAATGTGACTGGTTGTGTTATTCTGGTGCTCTTCTTTATCTTGAATCTCGCTATGATAAAATCCACTTGTGCTCTGGCCCTCTGGTCGTGGTGGTTTCATATCACTAGGTATACTTGCAGGGAAATCTGCGGGATGTGTTAGTTTGAAATCAATGGTTGTTTTACTCTGGTGATTTTGTGTATCTTCAATCTCGCTGTCCTCGTCGGGTGTTTCATCATAGATACTAAGCTGCCTTTCATCTTCACTTTCCAACTCACTATCAGTGGTCGTGGACTCTTTGCTCCCTCCACCTTGTCCTTTCTCGCGTTTTTCTTTTGCTCGACGATTTTGGAACCAAACAGATATTTTCTCTTTACTTATTCCAGTTTTTGACTCCAGTCGCATTCTTTCTCCAGGCGATGGAAACTTGGATCCGTGTGTGAACGTTCGCTCAAAAACAGCAAGTTGTTCGTCTGTGAATTGTGTTCTCCTTCGTCTGTTGGATTGTCCAGGATCAACGTAAGCTGTGTTGGAGAACAATAGGGAAACTGAGCATTAAAAATGCGGTACAGTCCGTATGTAAACAAAGGCCTTGTTTACATTTCAGTACCCAAAATATTGAATTTTATTCGACAACTATTTATATTTTCACGATTCTAGAGTATAATAAAGTATCAAGGCACAACAATCAAGCTTTGCAAGAACATAAAATGAAATAAAAACCTAAATAAACTGTTTGTAAATAAAAAGAGGGCTCCTTTGTGCACATGCGCAGATCGGACTGTACTGCATCTTTAATGCCTCTTCCACACATAATCGGAACAACTAAGTATTGTTTTAGAAAAACACTGAGGCCGCGGAAGCATTTCGAAAGTGTGTGTGTGGGGGGGGGGGCGGGGGCACTGAGTCACTGACCAGAAAGGGCACTTGTGTCAGCAAACATTCTAAATATGTTAGATGTGTCCTTAGAAGGTCTAGAGGTTTGGACGCATGCAATATTGATACAGCCTCGGATGTTATACATATTCTCTAAAGCTCTGCATCCTAAACTGAACATGAACTGATTAACCACAAATGCGAATGACGAAAAAAATTCCGAATATTGCATGGCATACGAAACCACGAAGGTGTTTGTTATCCGGAAAATGAAGACGCAATTTACAAGCAAAAATACGCATATTTTACGCACAGACATATTACAGAAGCATGCAGTGCCTTAGGAAGCTCTTTTTGATTGGGGGCTAAAAACGAGAGCCGAAGGCCCGATGAAATTTTTAAATTTAGTCTCTGAAATGCCATTTCCTGGACTTTGGAGAAGTTTTGACCGAATTCTGATGGTCAGGAAACAGCGTTTTAGTATGTCGAAATTTACACTTTGCTTACAATTTAGTAGTACTAAATGGGCGAAGGTGTATTTAATTAATGAACTATATATTGGAGAAGTTGTGGGAATGTATGGGTAATATGATTCATTGCAGTTTGTCATGGATAATGTAGCCGCTTAAAATTAATCAATTGTCAGTATTTTAAAGGTATATTATTTAAATGATAAAGGTCTGCATGATTTTGGAAAAAGAATGATTATTAGCAAATTATTTGGAGGGCTGCAGCCCCCCTCCCCTCCCCCCTTGGTTGCTACGGCCCTGAGAAGTAATAAACCTAAAAACATTTACCGATTTACGATTGATTAAATGTTATCCATGTAAATGCCCTATTTTCGTAAATCAGTTTATACTGACAATACAATTATATTATGTTTTCTCTGTTTTTTGTTATACTATTATTGCCGTAATTTTCCGGATGGCCAACCTGATTTTCCGAATATGTTAATTCTAAAAAAGTTGTGGGGTTGACCACCCCCCCCCCCCAATACTCCCTCGCAACGGCCCTGTCTTTAGCAATCAGGCTTAAGTCCAGTTCATCAGTTCTGTCCTTGATAATACGTGCATAACAGGGCATTTGTAGATTTCTTAGTTTAAGAGGGCATTTATAATTCCTCTTCAATTGCTGGAAAAAATGGTACTTTTATTCCACAAAAAGTGCATAAACTGACAAAACATATGTGGGAGGGGTGCATCATATCTGCCCCTAATTCCCCCTGGTTCCGCGACTTCTGATTATGATACTGCACTGAGTCTCTGCGAGTTCGTGTCGTCGCCCACAAGACATATATCCATCTGACGAATCAGCCGTCTTTCAAAGGCTCGTTTGCTGCGATTATATAGTTGCGAGTTTGTTCTTCTGATGCGAACGAGTTATGAATGTTCAGAGGTTACATATACTCAGAACCACAGCTCAGACATTTCCAACTCATCCCCTCGTTCGCATCCATTACAAGAAGAACATCGCACCAAGTGTAAATTGGCCTTTAGTATAAACACAAGACGAACTATCTTGCACGATATATTCTGTCCTAAAGCGAATTTTTCGTTGTCGTTTTCTTGCGAAATTCCGCTAACCCTGGGTAACATAACACTGCATAGTTTTTTGTGTTTTTTTTTTCTGTGTTGGTGTAATGTACTCAGGTGAATATGATGCTTGTGATGTTACTCTGGGTGTATATCCACACTGGACAAGCTTAAAAAATATGCCTGGCCACTGTGGGAATCGAACCTACGACCTTTGCAATGCTAGCCCAATGCTCTGCCGACTGATATTTCGGAACAGAATCACGTTTAAATTTGTAACAAAGTTTATTCATTACTGCATGGATTGTAAAATAACTGGATCAATGTCGTTCCCCGAGCATGCCCGTTCGCAGGTTAAGAGTGGGCATAGCTCTGGAGAAATCGAATTGTTTCACGTTGGATTTCCAACGTGATTTCTACGTATGCTCGGCAATTGCTGCAAAATATAAACAAAGTATTTAGAATTTCTTGTCGAAAATTTGATACTTTTTACAACTGAAATTGAATTGAAAACAACTAGAAATTCTGGGGGAAAGCTTCGGATTGATAGGGGTACAACTACCTGAAAAATACAAGGAGAACTTCGACGTGTCGAGCGAAAGCGCTTCGACATGTACTGTTAATGTTTGTATACATCGTACTTTACCTTTACTGATAAATATAATCTCCTCAAGAATGAGTATAATATATATGTGCTTTAAAATTTACATTTAACTCTCCTGTCAGAATTTATGGTATACGTAGTGTTTAATAGGTACGACAGTATAAAAGGTCAAGTACGATGTATACAAACACTAACACCACAAGTCGAAGCGCCTTCGCTCGAAACGTCGAAGTTCTCCATGTATTTTTCATGTAGTTGTATCCCTATCAATCCGAAGCTTTCGTACATATTTTCTCCAGAATTTCTAGTTGTTTTCAATCGATTTCAGTGTAAAAAGTATCAAATTTTCGACGAGAAATTCCAAAATATACTTTGTTTATATTTTGCAACTTGTCAAGCATGCGTAGAACTCACGTTGGAAATCCAACGTACTATCTGCCGTTAGCCAATCACAGGCCTGAATCAATTCGATTTCTCCAGAGCTATGCCCACCCTTAACCTGCGAACGGGCATGCTCGGGGAACGAGATTGTAACTGGATAGGAAACTTCCTGACGTCATTGACCTCATCCTTGTTGAAAAACGTGACGTCACGCGTTTTGCGAATATTACCAAAGTTCTCGGCATTTTTGTTGTTTTGCTATAATTTCCATTTAAAAGAGTGATATTGAAGCATAAACGGGTCTAATTGTTTTAAAAACATGCCTAAGCCACGACAAAGTATTCAAGGTAAATGTTTTTCGTCTTTGTTTTGTATTTTTTTACATTTGTAGCTACGAAATTGGCGTCACAAATTTTAACGAAATTTGCGATGTATTTTTCACTGTTTAGTGCTCGAAATATTTGCTAAAATTGACTGGGAATACTTTGAGTTTTCATCGCAGAATGGCGTGGTTATATTTATTTGCTCTTTGACTAAAATGTTTAGCTGTATTATTGCTAAACATGCCGTTTTTGAGAATTTGGTTTGCAACTAGTTTTGAACATCCAACCACGCCATCAGCCCATTGAAAACATCAGGTCACGTCAGCTAGTTTCCTACCCATTTATTTTATTATCCATGATTACTGTGAGCTTTAATCACTGGCTTTAATTAGCCTTTCTCACGATGACGAATATCCGCCATTTTTGGGTGGCATCTAATACATCCTTTCCATAATTACGTCACAACTACACTGTTTTCAACATGGGACCATCTTACATGGAAAGAATTTCAAGTTTGTTTTCTCATGGGCTATGCACAGAGAAGCAGAACATCCTTCTTCAACACAAGCGCGAAAAAAATTTTTGGTTTTTGATCAATAAATATGGAAATAAAGTTATTTCCACATTTATTGGTCAAATAAAGAATATGACGTAATTATCGAAAGGGTGTATTCTCGTTAACTTAACCAATGCAGACAATTAAATTAACAATGTGAAAAGCAATGTTTCAAAATAAACTGATCATTTACAAAGCAAATTTACCATCATTCGTCCAAAAATTTATGAAAAGTCGCTGTTATATATGTGGACTTATCTCGCAGACTTCGGCTGAAAAGCCACCCAAAAATGGCGGCGTGAGAAAGGCTAATTCAAGGTACTCTTGGGTTGTGAAAATCTCATAACAAGACAAGGCCTCTTTTAATATACAGGCTGAAGAGGGGAGGGGGATTTCCTCCTAGCCTCAATGTTCGCACTCCCAGTGAAGGTCCCTTGTCCCCGAGCCGACGGCGCGAAGCGCCCTGCGAGGGTACTAATTCCCCCCGCCTATTTACACCCGGGGAAACGAAAGCATTAGCGAAGTCTAAAGTTCATCAATTATCGCGGGCGTGGATGACCAACGATGTTGGGGTGTTGGGTGGGTGGTAATCCTCACTGATCTCAAAAATATGGCGGACTGTCATGAATAGCGGACACTGATTGGTCCAATTTAAAGTTTGCATTATAACGACTCCTTGACGACAGCGAAATAGCAAACATTTCTTGATTTGATGATTGATAAATTTCTTGCAAATATATTTCATTTTTGCTCGTACGCATTTTTGCAAGATTTTGTAAATTTCAAAAGCTCTCTGAGAAAGAAACTGCGAAAGAATCGGCTAAAAGAAGGGAGTCGATGTTACTAACGAAGGTAAGTTTGTTTTTAAATATTGATTTTATAATGGCTTTAAAACCCGACGGCCCTTGCGTATATGAAACAACTAAACAACTGACAGCATATAATTTCAGTGTATCTTTAATATTGATTCCCTTTTTTATGATATGGAATTTTTTAAATAAAAAAGAAAGCAAAGCTATTTGCAAGCGAGAATTTGAAATCATTTTATTGCAAACTCAAAGTTTATCGATAAAGCCATTTTAAAAGGCAGTTTAGTTTTATAAAGAACACTATAGTGAACTTGAATTTTACCTTAAATTGAGGCTTATATATTACATATAATAACATACCTAACATATCATTTATATGTTGGGAAATCAATAATTTTGTAATTAAAAGTGATATTTTTAGGCGATTTCTCATTTGTAAGAATATTCTTAAAAAATTGATATCGTGTTACCATGACAACTACTTTAGATACTTCATGTTCGGAAAATACAATGGTTTTGTCAGCAAGGCGAGGGTTTCTGCATCCATGTATTTTCTAGTATGTAAAATATATTACGGAAACAAGAGGGTCTTATTTTAGAAAAGTGTTTTCCCAGGACTAAACCTTTATCCACCGGATGAAACACATCAAAACGTTGTGTCCAAAAATGCCGAACGTGAAGCCACTCAAGCCCCAGGCCCAGAAGCTCAGGGACCAGGGTGGACACCAGATCCCCACATGTCCATACTTTTCCATTTCACCATCTCCTACTGACAATTTCTTAAAAGAGACCCTGCACTTAACAGGAGACATCACCATCGAATTGATCGAAAACTGTACTCTACACACCTAAAAACGCGCAAGTTGTTACAAATCTCCAAACAATTCAAGTTGTAACAGGTTGTTATCAGGCCAATATCAGGATGTGAGCACTGCATGTTCCCAGTTGGTGTATCTCACATGGTTGAAAACAGTAACTGACTTGCTACAAGTTGTTCCAACAGACCAACAAGACGCGAACGGTAAATGATTGAACCCGGTCTTCCAAATGTCGTCAATGATTGAACAACATTGGTCGGACCTCTACTCAAGTCAAGGTCACAGTGTCAAGGCAGGGACGTCGCTATAGGGGGGGTGTAACACCCCCAATAATTCAAACGTTGGTCCAAGTTGGTCAAAATGGAACTGATATTTGCTTAAAATTTAAGGTAAAACTCGGAAAAACTTGGTCAAAGTTTGGGATAAAAGATGGTCGAGTTGCTGTGGTGAAACAATTGGACGCCTTGCTTATCTTGGTCGAAAAATGTTCAATATGCCTATGTTAGTCCGGAAAAATTTTTTTGACTACGCTTATGTTAGTCCGGAAAATTTTTTTTGACCTTCCCCCCCCCCCCCCCTCCCGTCGACAACATTTTCAGGAAAAATTTGTACTACATGGTCAAAATCCTAGGAAATGTTGGTCAAAACATGACTATCCCCCCCCCCATAAGGACGTTAAATCGTACGTAGTTACCTCGGTTCCCCCTATCAATTGCAAAGTTGGGCCAACGGCCAACGAGTGAGAAACTCAACAAACTCAATAAATTGCGAGTCTGTTATTAAGGCCTCATCAACCTTGTTACAACATGTTACGTGATAATAACTTGTTCCAGACTTGTCAACAACTGGAAACAAACAGTGCCAGACATATCTTGTTGACAAAGCTGTGAAATTTTTACGCACGAAGGTCAACTGGTCGAAGCATTTGGTTAACATTACTGGAGCATGTATTAAATGAACCGGACGTTTTGAGCATTGCCATTGGTACTTCGGCTTTATTCATATGTTTTTATAGTTAGGACCATTCCATTTAAAATCACCCCCCCCCCCCTACGGATGAGGTCAGTAAAATTTTAACCCCTATGAAGAAAAAAAGATCAAAGTGCCGACACAAAACACCCCTCAGAAATTTGTAAATTTTCCCCTTACCCCTCAGAAAAATCGCAGAGATCAAAGGATGCCGACAGGCTTAACCCCTCAGAAACGACTTTTTGAGTCATCCTTCAGAAAAACTCATCCGTAGGGGGGGGGTGGGGGGGTGGACATTAAATGGTCCTTATTAAAAATTCAACGTACAACCACACAAAAATCAAAATGACGTTACAAAAGTAAAAGTACATTAATATTGTGTAAATTAATACCTTGCTGGTGAGGTAACATTGGCCAAGTAAAGTTAGCTTGATATTCTGCCTGTGCTTGGATGTATGGATTTGTTGACATTTCAGGGAGGTAGGCTGTCGGGTTTGGAAACCAATATTGTGGGTTATGTGACCAGGTAGGATAACCAATTGGCACTGTATGGTATGGTGGTAAGACCAAGTTAGGGTATGCGGGCCACGGGCATGGCCAACATGCTTGCTCCATTCTCTCTTGAAATTCTCTGGAATTTTGATTTCCGTCCATGTTGTTGTCTTTGGTTAGCAACTGCCGTCGATAATTCATCAGTCGTTCGTCTTCGGTCTTGTTTCGTAGCTCAACTAATATTCTCGCAGCTTCTTTTTTGTGGAAACGTTTCACGTCACTCATTCGGTCAATTTGAGCAAACTAAATTTGAAAGAAAAACTTCAGTAAAAACAAAATATTGGCTATACGTGTTTTGCGGTAGATTTCGCGGTGAGTGGATTGTATTTCTCAATTGCATATTTGTAGAGTATTAAAACGTACTGAACTTACATTGCATGAAATAACACTATTACACCTTATAACACGAGCAGATGAGAAATTTTTTAGCCGGAAAAATGTTTGTCTTTTTGACCGACACTGGAAGGCTTCCCCGCCAAAAACTGCAACATTTGGCGCCAGCCGCTTGCCTACTTGTTTTTCATTCGTCTTTCGCGGCTGTCTTTTTGATAAAAAAATACTAATTGACAATAATAAAACTAATCATTAGGATATCTCTACCTAATTACTGCTTCATATAGCGATATTTCGGGATTTTTTACAGTTTATAGTGACGCATTTGCATGACTGAACAACTATATATAAACGCTGGAATCTAGGATCTACAGGCTGGCTTGAGATCAAAGGTTACCGCTATTTACCGACTTGTTTTGAAAACAATTTTAAGTTGTACGTATACTACCATGCAAATATAATTATTCACTAAACAAACAAGTTACGGTATTAATACTATGATTTCTCAATTCTCGATAAATGTATCGTTTATCACAACAAAATTCTGTCCATTATATCTTTCACTGAGGGGAAAAATTACATATGCCTGCATAATTTTTTTATAGCTACAGCCTACATGGAAACTGGAAAGCATCCATCCGTATGCTCAGCCAGTTTGACCGTATTAAGGTTCGATTTTCTAACCTTCGACTGAGATGCTCTTGTTTTGAAGTTTGCGCCGTCAACCTACCCTGGCAATCTTGTGTTTCGCTGCAGGAAAAAGAAAAATGGCCGACATTTTAAACTTATGGTTATCAAACTAGGTAAACTAAAATACATACTGTGGTAGGTTTTAATTAAAAAACACAAAACAAACATTTCTTACCTGTGTTGATTTTTCATCAAATTGACAGGTGTAAATACAAATATAAACTTTCCTGCTCTTTCGCCCGAAGTTTTTTCCAGTTCGTTTCAGTGACCGGCCCGTTTACATGTCAATTGTCAACGGGCACTTCGCGAATGATGGCGTGGCACATCAGAAGCCTAATTAAATTCAAATTTCACCCAATTAACCAATCATCACTTACGATATAAAAGGTTTCGCGGGAAAACCAAGATCACTACGAAATAGCGCAAAATAGACCAGTTTTTGTCATGTTAGAAAAACAGGCTTGATACACAACCGAGAATACCTATAATTATAAATCCTAGCTGCGTCATTATTTAGCGTGTATAAACATCGAAGCGTTTTAGTTTTAACACGCGGGCTGGGTATTAACCACTGAATTAACGTGCGCATTGTCAGTGAGCTCTATACATATCTGGACCAAGAACTTCGGTCAACTCTACTGACAAGACATATTTGAAGTCATGATCAGTCTTTATGGCATGTATGTAGCCAAAACACTCAGAATCACTTCAGTTTTTCCACGCAATGGACCAATCCCACATCACTAACCAAAATTTTCATCACAGCTTAAAAGAGCATCACAAAATTAGCAATATTCCAAAGTTTCGTTGCAAAATGTTGTAAAATGCGGATAATATAGCCTTGCGAAATTTGCAATTTTTAGGCATTTTGTATTACGTGCCGCAAGGCTAAATTATCCGCATTTTACAACATTTCGCAACGAAACTTTGGAATATTACTAATTTTGTGATGCTCTTTCAAGCTGTGATGAAATTGTTGTTTAGGTTAGTTGAAATCAAATTTTGGAAAAGTGGTAACCGTTTCCGGCTCGTAATACAAAATGACTTAAAATTGCAAACTTCCCAAAGTTATATTATCCGCATTTTACAACATTTCGCAACGAAACTTTGAAATATTACTAATTTTGTGTTGCTCTTTCATGCTGTGATGAAAATTTTGTCTAGACTTGTTGAGATCAAAATTTTGATTAATATGGGATTGGTCCATTAATACATTCATTATACTAGAAATATATGCATGTAACAACCCATCGCCTATATTCTCCAAACATTGTTTCAACATGAAGTACTCGTAATTACGCCAACACTGAACCACAGAGTAACATACAGAGGCTTATCTCAGCGAAAAAACCGTAAGGTGTTTTTTTGGCCGCCATGTTCTTAGCCAGTACCTGCACATGCGCAGTTTACGTAAAAAGGCGGCCTCTCTTTGCTGGACTGGCTAAGAACGTGGCGCATTTTTCCAAAAAAGCCATTACGCCGACATCAAAGGTGTCGACATTTAGAGAAGCCTCTGTATGTACTTACTCTGAGACTGAACACAGGTTCACGTCATGTTGGTCATGGCAACACGATAATTGTTTTTTTAATTTTTTGTACAAACCTGCAAAAAATAGATGAAACTTGAACACTTTTAAATACAGAACTATCAATTTCTAAAATATATAAAGTAAGTATATTATTTCGGTTTCTATGGGCTATATAGTTAATGCAAAATTCAAAATGAAACTCTACGTAAAACGTTTCTAAATGTGAATTGAAATTAGCTGCTTTTTGCCGATATTAAACTCTTCTACTCGAGCTTCAACTTATTACTCGCACTTTGAAATGAAATAAATTTAATTTGTACAGGACGCTAATGAAAATAATTTGCTTTCCCTCTACCGTGAACATCTACAAAAGTTAATTTAACTAAGAAACTTTCGCATGCAATGCCAATGTATATAGTCTGGCAGAATCGTGAAATAATTGTTCAGGTTGTGATAAAAGCACCAAACTTGGCACAATGGTAGTTTGGGACATACTGAACAATATTGGATATGGACCCCAGCGAAATCTATCCCATAATTCCGGTTAGAGGGGGTTCGTTTTTTTATCAACTGGATCTCAGCATGGAAACGAGACTGATAAAGAATATTGTGAATATCTGCACCATTCATGTTTTTAAAGTGATCTGTCAACATGGAAACGGCTGAGCGAATACATCAATTAGCACGAATTATACGGCTTCAAAACGAAGGTAGATTAAATAAAATATATAAAAATTAAAGTAAATTTATTGTCAAAACCGTGATAATACATATATGGCTTCCATTGCTTCATTTTGGTGCGTGATTGGTAACAGGGAAACGCGGTAGATCAACTGAAAATTATGGTAATTGAGAACATCAAAGATGTTTCCTTTATTCAAAACAACTTTGGTGCAACAAAATTTATAAGCATTTACCAGGAGGAACGGGCTCCTGTCATTTGTTCTTAATTTTTACAGAATCAACGTTTATACTTTTAGTAACTTAAATAAAGGAAACCTAAAGCAGTGGCGTAACTACTATGGGCTCAGACCGGGAGAACCCGGGGGCCCCCAACCCAAATGGGGGCCCCCAGGCTTAGGCGATAGAGCAAAAACATTGGCCAGGGCCTCTGATATGTTACAATGACGTTTTATGACCATCAGAATTCTGTAAAATCTCTCCCCAAAGACCAGGAAATGGCATTTCAGAGAGTCAAGATTCAAAAATTTTCCGGATGAGCATGCCCTGGACCCCCTAGAAAACTCGTGCATATACGGCGCTCGACTCGTGCCTTTGGTACTTCTACTAGGGGGGCCTTCGAAAATTTTGAACCGGGGGCCCCCTGACATAACGTTACGCCACTGACCTAAAGTACAGGTATATATCGCAAAGAAACTGAGTCAACTATTGTAAAAATGAGCCACAATGTTGTTCACTACCTTTCTTATGTTCTTCGTTCTATAGTTTACAGTGTTCCAGGAAAAATTCCTTAAGGCCTGTCACACACGCTGTGCAAGGAAGCTCGGCACGAACGCATTTACACCGCCCAGCGCATCCTTTCTCACTCTTGCAACCGCATCTTAATAGTTCTAGGCAGCTTTGTGAGGCATGGGGAATAGCTGATCATTATGCTTCCCAAGCTTGAGTAGGATCCCTTACCCAACCCCACTCGCTAGGTGAGGGAAGTTGGGGCGACACTTCCAAACAGTTCTCCCAATAATGACCGGACTGAAACACCGCTCTCTTTGCATGCTGTAATAAGGCATTATCTCTTCCCTTGCGTGTGAATAGGCCCTTACGTGCAGTGTCGACGGAGGTGCATGTACTTTTGCGGTCGTACATGAATATATGATCACGGTGTAACACTCGAGAATAGGGAGAGCATCATTAAGGGCTGGTAGCGATGGGAAAGCACTTAAACTCTGGAAAACCTCGGTCACTTCATCGTATACTGACCATACATCCCATGCAGTTTTCTTGCCGATGTGTTTAAATGAGGACGTCTGATCACAGCCGGCGAAAGCGTGGAACCCAAGAAGAGCTCTTGATTTCTCCTGACCCAAGGTAGAAGCAATGCCATGTACTGTTATATATCGAAAATGCTTCCCAACCCCAAATGCTATCCAAAGTTTAGACAAATCCAGGTCATGAAATTTTGCAACGGTAATTACCACAACGTCAGTATCGACAGTCCGCAACACTATTTTCTTAAGGCCGCACTTTGCAGCATCAGCAGCATGGAGCAAGAGCCTTGTATCGGCCTCCTCGTGATTGCATGGTGACAGGCCAGATGTATCATCTGTTCCTCCGTTGCAGACCACAGAATCCCCTTTGTGGACTCGACCTGACCATGTTCCGCTCCAACCGTGCCTAACTGATCAGCAAGAAAGTGGAACAACTCTTCTTTATTCTTGTCGATCCTCAGAAAGCTGCCCAATTGTCTGGTATGTTAGTGTCCGGCTTGACACGAAGGCGTATTCCCTTCCCTCTGTTGCTACGGGTTGTCGCCCTCAGGCTATCCTCGATGTACGTATCCCAGACAACATCCACTCTACGGACATTTACAAGCTGAGCTTTTACGTACGGAAGAAACACATCTTGACTGTATTCCTCGAATGTCCTTGATGTACCAGGATTCAGCATATTTACAATTGCAGCGCCGTCCAATAGCAGAGCGTCTACTGGTGGTGCTTCTGCTTGTATAGGGCTGATCTTTTCAGAACAGGACAGTAGGTCTGGTTTCGTACCGATCTGAGTTCCCCAAATTGAGAGGAAACATACAGGCGCGCAAAGAGAGAGCAGTTGCTCTTAAGATACGCAATTTTCATTTTGTCCTTAGATTTCTCTTTGCATGGAGGAGGACTACTGAACAATGCCAACTTATTTCTCTTGATTGGCTCATACAGGGATGTTGTCCGTTTTTCCAATCTCTCAGTTACGAATCTCTTACGTTGTTCAGCCACTTGTACTCTGTGACAAAAGCAGATGGCATTGGTAGACAGCTACTTACGAACGGACCTTGAAAGGCTGGGACAGGTGGTTCCTTCTTCGGAATAATGACGGGCTTTACGGTAGTGTACGACTCAGAGAGTTGAGAAAGACGCTTTTTGCTTGTGTTCTCAACATTGATGACGTCTCGTTCTTCACCAGTTATATTTTCACTCGGGTCCTGAAATAACGATATTCCTGTTCCGTGAAAGGCCCTCTGTGCAGTCGTAGAATTGGGATTATGATCAATATTGTCCACAGTTGCCGTCATAAATACCTTCTCAATCAATCAATCAAAAACATTTATTTAAACACGATTTAAAAATGAGCAGCAAATTGCTGATGTGGTCGTGTGTTTACCAGTATAGTAATATCAATTTTCGTTTGGGTGGACACACAACTCTTTCAGATTCGTAACGTGCACAAACTTTATTTCCCATTTCGGTGAGATTTTCCAAACTCTGTCATATGAGATAGACAATCCAAGGCTATAAAGTTCAACTAGGGTCTGCTTCCTTGTCTCTGCGTGTGCCATTAGACCCAAGTAGACTGGTAGTGGGGGTTCACGGTCGGTGGAGTGTTAACGAGAGGTACTGTACATGTATCACTGCTTCGTCTTCGCTTAGTCGAATTGAAGAGTATTAGTTGGGAGAAGCTAAAAGTAGTTTGCGCTTCTATCATGTTACTAGACTGGGTCTTAATGTCTAGAGCGCCTAAAATCATTCCAACTAACGTCTTCAGAGATTCCGGGACTGAATTGCGTTGACAATTGATCTCAAATTCCCCCATTAAACCTTCTCTTTTTGTTCAAGATATCCTGGCGAATGATCTTGGCAGCCTTCAAAAGAGTCATTGCTTCGCTATCATAATCCTGCTCATGGAGGTTTTTCAGAGCTTGTCCTATGTCGTCATTGAATGCTAGCATCGCGTCTCGTCCTTGTTTATGCGCTTGTAGTCCTGGAACATTCGCTAGAATCCTGTGCTTCAAATGTGTGGAGTTAACTCTCGTATATACTCCAAGCTGTTGCAATCGGGTGAGTACATCTGAGCTAGCTCTGCTAGCCTAAAAACAGGAATTGTGTCAACTGATTCGGCCCGCGTTTCCTGTATATACTCAACTAACTATGCGAGAGAAATGCCTTGAAAAAATCTTTTCATCTCTGTTTTCAGTGTCGTCAGAATCGTTTCGAGCTTTGAAATGATATACTGCTTCTTCGGAAATGAGATCAGCAGCACTACGTTTTGCAAGCAATACACTGTCCTCGAGCTGAAGCGCATATTTTCGAACTCTTGCATCCATGTTGAATGTCGAGGCATGGTGAAGAGTACCCGACGCGTCGTCACAGAAAAAGCAGCTGCTGTTGATATTGGCGGATTTAGCACCTGAACTATTTCGGGTAAACTTAGTTGGCAAAGAACAGCCGGGTTTGTCAAAGCTTTTTCTCTTTTCCGCTCGTTGCAATTTTAAGCTGTTAAACGTTGCTGCAATTCCATTCCCGTCGTCTAGTTTTGCAATGTCTATTTGTGTTGGCGAGTAATTAATTTCATTAAAATTAATCGCAAAATGTTGTTTGCCAAAGTGTAGTAGCCCGCCCCAGGTCCTTTTGACCCACAGAAAATAATAAAAAGGTTCGCAGAAGAACTTTCAATCCCTCTTACAGACATTATTAATACCTCCTTCCGTGAGAAACGTTTTGGCGATGTCTGGAAAGCTTATAACACTTGTTCAATCCCTAAATCTAATCCTTGTACTGTCATTGAGAACATAAGACCTATAGCGATCACAAGCATTTTTCCAAAATACAAGAGAGCTACGCGTTAGAATGGATGTTGGATGATGCTAAAGATAATATCAGCAGAAGACAGTTTGGTGGAATCCCTGGGTCGTCACCTATATTGGCATTGTTAGAAATGCTCCACAATTGGTATTCAGCCATGGAAAATTCTGATACCGTGATTCGTGTAATGTTTTTGGACTTTACTACTAAAAGCGTTCGATCTCATAGATCATAATATTCTTCTACCTGATTTGGAAAAGATGGGTGTGTCACGAAGCACTACTGGACTAAGATAATACCAAAACTCTTTAATTATTTCTTTAATTACAATACTCAACAACGATTAATCTCCACGAAATACATCTCACGATTTCACCTTAACTCTACAATATCTCACTTCCATGCGGTTCTCTCCTCTAAAAACACATACACTAAAAGGCGCTAAGACACATACACTAAAAGGCGCTTCTCTACAGGTGTAAGGCCTGCCTTATTGCCCTGGTTAGCGTCATATCTGTCTCAACGTCAACAAAGAGTCAAATTTGAGGGGAAGTTGTCAGATTTCCGCAATATTAACGCTGGCGTACCGCAAGATCGGCCCCTTTTCTTTTATCGCTAAGATCAATCGCTTACCGGACGTTGCAGTGACAGACAATTCAACCAATGCGGAACAAGTTTCGATGTTTATAGATGATACCACGGTATCGGAAGTGTTGAATGTGACCATGATCCTAGGTCAGATCAACCAATTGGGGACATGGAACTATCATTATCCAAAGGATATCAACCTTTTGTGGCGAACAAAGAATGGCACTGAATGTGAAAAAAACAAAAGAAATGATTTTTACTTTCGCGTTAGGAAAACTACAATTAGAAGTATTAAGATGTACAGTACGACTCAGAAGCTCAAAGGGTCACTTCTTTTAAACTGTTAGGAACATGGCTTGACGACAATCTAAAATGGGACAGTAACACTGAGTACATCGTAAAGAAAGCAAGGAAGCGGTTGTACTTTCTCAAATTGTTCAAAAGCTATATATGGGGCGCCAGCGCAGGATTTGCTACAATTCTATTGTAGTATTATTAGATCAACTCTGGAATATGGAGATGTGTTGTGGAATGGAGGTCTGACCAGTTCTCAAAGTGCAAACATTGAAAGAGTACAGAAAAGAGCATTCAGAATAATATTACCTGGAGTGGAATATTTTGTAGCGTTAAACCATCTTAAGATGCAAACGCTGAGTGAAAGACGCAAGAATCATTGTATAGACTTGATTGCAAATCTATCTTCGCCTGAGCACCGTCTACACGACCTACTTCCAGACCGCGTTAGAGATACAAGACAAAGAGAAACTAGATCTAATGCGAATATGTATTATAATTTTAATTTAGAACTGAAAGATTTAATAGTCCGTTAGTACACGCTATAAACTGCTATAACAGTAGCTTAGCGAGACCCTAGGTCTAGCTTATGAGGTTTTATTAACTTCGATATTTTAAATATAAACTTCAATATTTTAAATTATCTATAGTCTAGTTAAAGTAATACTTATCAGTTATAGACCTGAAACGAGGGGTATTCCACAAAAAATTACCCTTAGGGATGAAATATTCCGAGAGCGAAGCCCGAGGAATATTTCATCCCGCAGGGTAATTTTTTGTGGAATACCCCGAGTGAAAGGTCTATAAATGGTATATTATACCGAACCTTTCAAAAATAAGTAGAAAACAAATACCATTCAATTAACTTTTAATTTCAAAACACAACTTTTGATAACTTTACATTTAAAAAGTCGAATTTCCCGCTCAAGCGTGGTATTCGAAGTCGAATACCATGGCCCCGGGTAAAACACCAGGGTTCAAATTGCCTAGGTCATAGTATTCGCTGAAAAATACCATGGTCATGTGGTACAAATTTAGTTCTCTGATTGGACAAGCTCATTGTGAGGTATAATACTTGTTAATATATTATACAAACAATGTAAATTTTATATATTTACCCTAATTTTAATGTAAATGCATGGCAATTAAGGCTATATATATTGTCTTCTTCATGTATTTTAAATTCCAATAATAATAATAATAATAATAATACATAATGACAAACTTTACTCTGTTATACTGATTTCTTAGTTCAGAACATAAACCACTATAATGATTGTGTTTACGTACAGCATTGTCTTTAATTCTGGTCTCAAAACCGACAGTTAATTCCAAAACAAATACCCAACTCCGTTGTTTGTCTATAACTACGATATCAGGACGTTTTTGTTCACCAGTAATAATAGAGGGGCTCATATATCCTGTGATATCACAGTATAGTTCGATGTTGTTCGTGATTGATAGCAAATAGTCAGCAATAATCTTCAACACAGAATTATGTCTCCATGTATAACGACCCTCTTCTAGGTGAACTTTGCATGCAGACACAACATGTTGAAGGGTTTGCGTGTTGTAACATACTTTACATAATGCATTTTCGCTTTTCTTCCAAAGAACCGTATTCTTTAAGGTTGGTAAGGTGTTGTTTGGGTAACGGATACAAAAATTGAATATGTTCTTGAGTAATTTGTTGAGGGTTCGATGCCATTGTTTCACATCTGATACAAGCGTTTCCTGCCAAAGGGCTTTAACAACGATGCTCTGTGATACAAGCTTGTTCACTTTATCTAGTTTTTCGTCTCTAATTTTTTTTTTAACCTCTCGACAATTGTTAAAACGATCATGCTGAATGTTACAACCCGATCTTGTGCTACTGTATACATGTCTGGCGTCTTCATTGGTTGAGTTCTTTAACTGACTTCTAAAAGATACCTGACACTGAGCATGCTTAGTGGAAACATCAATAACATTCAAGCCAAACTTTGTTTTCGCCAAGAGAACAATGTCAAGAGTACCATTGGGAGGAATCTCTAGCCATCTACGTAACTTATTATGACACAAGTTGTCTAAATTTTCTTTTATCCAGGTCTTTTCAATATCGGCAATAGTTAAATGCCAGGAAAGTTTCGACATTAAGTAAAATTGATAGAGTTCCAATTTGTACTTGGGGTGTAAAGGCAACATATCTATTTTCTTGAGAATGTTTTCCACCATTTCCAGAAGTTCCTGCTTATGAGCAAGGAAAATATAAGTCCCCCGAATCACAGTTAATAGGCCCAAATATAAGCCCAGTAGCCCACTACGTTATTCAACATTCAGGGTTTTTTTCAGGGATTTTTTAGGGCCGTTAAACGGCCCCAAAAACTCAATCTTGAATTGAGTTTTGAAACTCAATCTTCTCACCAAAGTTTCAGTGCAGTAAAAATGAAGTTGTTTGAGTTAAATTTGTGACGTGTGGAAACTAGTTTTCAGTTGGAAACCCGACAATTAAGAAAAAATTACTGGAATTCATCTCACAACACAAGAAAAACTATGCATTCGCCATCTTTAACCAGTTTATAGTGTACCTTAGTGCCCCTGCTTTAACAAATTCTGTCTCAACTACATTTATTGAGTACATGCAGGTGTCAGTCCCCCCGGTAGGGGGAGGGGGTTGCAGCCACCCCAGCTGTTTAGCTAAACTCAATCTTCACTGCAAAAACGGACCCAAGAGAAAATCCTGTCTGGGTCTTCGTTTGTTGCATTGTCCAGGCCTGATCAACGGAAGCTGTGTTAGAGAACAATAGGGAAACTGAGCATTAATGCCTCATAATCAGAACAACTAGAACAACTAAGTATTGTTTTAGAAAAACTCTGATGATACTGCAGTCTCTGTGAGTTCGTGTCATGACCCGCAAGACATATCCATCTGACGACTCAGCCCGTCAGCCGTCTTAAAGGCAATGGAATAATTTTTTTTATTCCTGATATTAGTAAAACTGGACCCCCTAGCTGATTACGAATATGCTACTAGTTTTCATCAAAACTGTTTTGTTCTCGAGTTATTTCACCATAAATATTCCTAGCCTCCTCCGCAGGCATCTCTTAATCGTCGAGAACTTATATATTCCGTACGTCCGCCATCTTGGATCGATTTTCAATATATATATTTTATTAGGCCCACATGGCGACTTCGTACTTCTGGTGAGGAATTTGGCGCTTTTTGATTACTCAGATGGAAAATATCCAGGATAATCAAGTAGATAAAGTATTACCCTATCAAATTTGAATCTGAACCGGGCTTACAAACAAGCGAGAGCGACTCCAAAGAAGAGAGTGAATCGTCTGACGAGGAAATCATCATGTGCTTGAGGTCGAAAATTATGCTTGGCGCATTGCACATTGAAACCAAAGAAAGAATATTGAATTGTTTTGTTGCCACGATAAAGCGTTAGAATGCGATGAATAAGATGCATGGTTGAAGAAGGCTGGATGACAAGATTTGGACAAGATACACAAAATTTATAGACTAGTACTAGCATACGAACGATGTTCGCGTTACTCCGTTAGGTATTTCAGATATTGGGGAATATTAAGAACAGAAGGCCACTTCCCGCGTGACGCGTGTGTTTGCACAATAATCGTCAATTTTATAGCCTAATTTTAAAACTAGGCAAGGAGATGCAAATAAATCACCACAGCTAGAAAGCATACTAAAATGAGTAAAATTGCAAAGTTTGGTTGCCAAATGTTGTAAAATGTGGAACATTTTTTGTCGCAAATTTTGTATACTTTTGTATTGCGTGCGGAAATTGCTACTAGTTTTCGGCCCAAATGTGGTAGCAATTTCCGCACACAATACAAAAGTATACAAATTTGCAAGGCTATATATTTTCCGCATTTTACAACATTTCGCAACCAAGCTTTGCAATGTTACTCATTTTAGTATGCTCTTTCTAGCTGTGGTAATTTATTTGCATCTCCTTGCCTAGTTTTAAAATTAGTCTATAATGGGAATTGTCTATTCGGGAACGGTTTGGGGGCTTTGAGATTATTTGAATGTTCATTTATTCAAATTTGGCTAAATCTATGCTCTTTCAATAATAATTCTAGTATGTTCCGATTACATGAAGCACTTTCAAGCCTTGGGATACAGAAGGAGAGACCCTGGGAACGAGGTTGGGGATAAACTCGCGTTTACTGTTGACAGCGTTGGAATTTGTTCAATAAACCACAGTTAAATTAATAAACAGCATACCCTTACCCTGGTTGCCAGAGGTTCTCGTATCTTTCGCCTTATTCCCGCTCGTATTTATTTTACGCGAGGCGAAGAGAACCTCTGGTGGCACGCGATGCAAATCTCTCTTCCTTTGGTACAAAATTTGTACCACGCAAGCACATGATTGGCTCGTTATAATTAGCAGTCACATGAAATGATGTGATCGGCTAGACAAAAAAACCTGTTTATATTAACTTAGTTTGTTCCGTTATAAAAAGATTTTCTGCGCTGGTGAAGAGCTGCCATCACGGCATGACTCAAGTGACGGCATGACTTGAGTGACGGCATGACTTGACAAATTTTGGTAATTTTTTTACTTTAATATAGTTATTAATATGATTTATTTTGCCAATATTTTCCCGTTGTTTGTTAAGGACAACCAGTCCACACTGGCTCCGTTGCTCCTATATATATATATATATATATATATATATATATATATATATATATATATATATATATATATATATATATATATATATATATATATATATATATATATATATATATATATATTATATATTTATATTCTTTCACTTTTGACTTTATACGTTCGCCAATACAAACGGCATTCCACAAATTTAACAACTACTGAATCAGTAATGTTGCTTTTGCTTTGTGCGTTGCGAGAATAATCTACATGTTTCTAATGAAACAGGGGGCGAAACTAGCCCCTTTTAATTACGGGGGTGTCTGTTAGAATTGCCCTGCAAAAGCCGATGATGCCCTGCAGCAAATTTTTATTTATGGCCACTATTTTTCCCAAAAATGTTGGGGGGGGGGGTGTGGGGGGGAGGTTGAAAAAACTTTTTCAAGACATTCAAAAATAGGTCCTGACATAAACCACTTAAAATAAGGGTCAAAAATTTTTTCCGTACAAATTCCTGTTAAAACATGCGTGTAACCCTTATTTTTGGACCAAATTTCACGAGATACCATGCTGCTATTACTTATTAATAATTTACATAAAAATGTTCGAGACACGTTTTAACTTTATACGTTTAATATAGTAAACATTCCACTAGCAAAGGTTTTCCTGGCTTTGTTACATTATACAACGCTAACAGCTTGAAAATTCCACTCAACTATGTAAGTTGTGTTAGTCTTGTTTAAGATAAAGGCTTTTCCATTTAAAAAAAAGAAGATAAAAGCCATATTTTTCAACCGAAGTCAACTTTCACTTTATGTAGTGCCTTATGCTTTACGCGGCGCCATGCATGTTTGTTTTTTGGTTCTTGGACACGCTCAATTTTTGGTACGGCACGGATAAAATTGGTACCCGCACCACTTTTTTGGTTCTTGGATTACCTATTTAGGTAGTCCAAGAACCAAAAAAGTGGTATGGTACCAAAAATCGACCGTAGTGTAAACAGGGCTTAGTCCAAGAACCAAAAACGTGGTACGCGCGGGGTACCAATTTTATCCGTGCCGTACCAAAAATTGAGCGTAGTGTAAACGGGGCTTCAATCATCACAACGTTTTTCCACCAATCAGATCAGTTTGTTACAGATTTTTGCACTGTGATTACAGAAAATTGCACTGTGATTACAAAAAAACTGCACTGTGATTACAAAAAATTGCACTGCTGTTTGGGATTAACTGCACTGAAATCAACCAATCACAGTCGAGTAATATCTTTATGTATATTATTAAAATTGGAACAGGTTGTTGTGATGTTGTCAAGCCAATATCAGGATGTGTGCACTGCTTGTTCCCAGTTGCTGTGTCTCACATGTTCGACAACAGTAACTGACTTGCTACTTAAGATGTTCCAACAGACCAACAAGACGCAAACGGTACAGTAAATGATTCAACCCGGGTCTCCCATGCAAATGTGGTCAACGATTGAACATCATTGGTCGGACCTCTACTCAAGGTCTTAAAATAACGGGGGAGAAAGAGCTACATTTAATACATTGACATCAGTATCATCAGTAAATGGCATTTTCTCGGATAAGGACGTTAACTCGTAGGTACCTCGGATGCCCCCTATCAATATTAAGGCATTTGTGATTTGGGCAAGCCTGTTGGCCGGAAATCCGCTCACCAACGAGTAAGAAACTCAACTCAATAAATTATTACTAAATTGCGAGTCTGTTAAGGCCTCATCAACCTTGTTACAACATGATAATAACTTGTTCCAGACTTGTCAACAACTGGAAACAAACAGTGCCAGACATATCTTGTTGACAAAGCTGCATGTGAAATTTTTACGCACGCAGTCGCAGCATTGGGTAACTTTAATTGCTAGTGTATAATTAACGGAAGCCTCACATATCGATTTTTTCCACGAGAAACGTCATATGTTCGTTTGGGAGTGGGGGGGGG